TATTGAAAATCGGGGGAATTGAACCACTTCCCATACAATGCCTTATTTTGCAAATTCTTTATTTGAATAATTGTAGAATAGCGTAGTGTCCATAATCTTTTTACATATTTTATAAATAATACTAAATTTAAAAAAAGGCGGGGCAATGACGACCATTACATAGGGCGCAACCCAAAAAATGGTCCAAATTTCGTGGAGTTCATCTTTGTTTGAAATTACTATTATAGTCCAATTTTCATCTTCACATATTTAAACTTGGGCTCTTCTGCTCTACAAAAGATCAATTTTTATTTTCATAAAATAGGCCGAGATTTTCTAAATTTGGCACACCTAAGTTTTTTACGCTAGGTTAATGTTATGATGCTTCAATATTTCACAATGAAAATTATACCTTTTTGTCGTACGAACTTTAGTTTTCGCTATATGCAAGGGGATTCACACATCCGATTCAAAGTTTTCACACCAATTTAGAATGCCGAAATACTACCACTTAGCCACTTTAGTCGAGAAATTTTGAAAATTTGAATTTATTTCCATATTCCGACTTTTCAGAATAGAGAGTCATACGAGGAGTGCTCGAAAAAATTGCCTGATCCGAACCACTTTGAATAGCGTTCGGCCTTGGGTTAAAACAGGTCACTGTACCAAATTTCACCAAAATATTTCAAAAATTGGGACTTGTAACTTGAACACAAATTTACATGGACATACATCAGACGGACAGACAGGGTTAGATCAATTCAGATAATGAGTCTGAATCGATCGGTATAATGAAAGGTCTAATATAAGGTGTAATAAAAGCCCTTCTGCATGTTACATACTACCCCACTAAGTTAATATACCATGTACCACAAGTGGTGTGAGACTGAGTGACTCCTTTCGATGCCAAAGGTTATCGCTCCATTGGATGTATAAGGAAGATATAAAATCGAATAACTTTAGTGACATTTTCGTCGCATTCTATATATAAAGCCAAAAATTATATGAAAATTATAGAAAGTTAGCGTTCATATGGAAATTTTTGATTTTCTTAAAAAAAAATCAAATTTTTTTAAAAAAACACCAACATCAGTGTATATCGTTTTTTTTTTTTTTTTATTTGCATATTTTTTTAGTCAAGAAGGTTTTTCTTTGCCTTGTTCTAGTTTCTTTTCATGAGTTTTTTCTTGTTTGTCATGAGTTTCCTTTTCTCCTCCACTCTTTTTTTTTTTTAAAAACATCTGTTTGTTGGTTATTATTGGAATGATTGTTTTTATGTAAAGCAAATACCTAGCGTTATTGACACACCTATACATATACAGAACTGATTTAATTTTATACATAATTGCAGTTGTACAACGAGTTCTGTAACAGTGCGATACAGGCACCTCTTATGTAAATACTTCGACGGGAATATAATGCTATAGGTGGTCCTAACACTGTTTTGTTCGAAAATGTTAGCGAGCCTCCAATAAACTGCTGTTACTAAGTAAACACAGAATTATAAAGAAGATCTAGCAAAGCATGCAGTTATTATTACAAGAGAGCAAGCAAATGTTCGGCGTTTACAATTAATAGCTTCCTACCCTGCCTATAAACCAGACTTATTCGCTGAATAGGTGCAATTGCACAATCAAACCTTATTGAAACTTTATTTTGCAACTGCTCTCATTACTCATACCGCCAGTGAGCATAGTACAGTCGGTGTTAGCAATGGGGACGAAGCCACGTTCGTTGAGAAACCACGGCGCATCGGGCAGCAAATTCGATCCTTTTAATTCCTGTCAGGCAAACGTAAGTAAATATGAACCTAACGCCATTTGGTACTCTGCGAATGGCTTGGAATTCAAGAATTTTTCATCGATTTGAGCTTTGCCGCATATCCTTTAATAACATATTTGGATCGTTTGTAAAAGCTACCGAGAACAAAGATACGATTCAGAAAATGAAAACTTCAAAAGAGGTTAAGAAACAAAGCCTTGAGCTGACTGTTAATTGTCCAAGTTAAATGTACGAAGAACAAAAATCGTACAAGTCAATCCACCTCAAGCTTAAGTCGAATGTATGAAAAACAAAAGTAAGATGAAATATTTTATATATATCACTACAAACTGGTAAGACATGAACCTTAGTAACGCGCTAATTTGAACTAGATGTGAATTTTTTTTTTTATTACATGGCTAATCAGTCAGGGAATGTCCGCCCCTTCTTCGTGTAATATAGCGATGTTCGGAAAAAAGTGAGGGAAGAGAAAGAGATAGGGAAATGACCACAGTTTTGTGGGTGTTGGTCTTTGCCAATCAACCGCTCACTATATATACCGCCAAAACACAATCTACCGCATTGGGATGTAAGCCCACGCATACAGAGAAAAGGTTCGTGGTCTTTTCGCCGGTCTTGGCAGCGAGCACTTTCTTTCTATTAAGGAATAAAACGAAATTCAATTTTCTTATTTAGAATATACATCAAAATTATTTCATTATGATTAACCTAACAAGATTCGGCGCTAAAATATATGATGCCCGCTCGTCACTTCTTTTACATTTTTTTCCTTAGCTCAGTTAACTATAAAACTTTAAATCTGCTTAGTGCAATCTATTTGTTCATACTTTTTCAGGCTGTATGGTTAAGATGTTTTCATAATCTAATAATCAAAAAAACTCTTTAAATGTCAAAATTTAACCTTAGTTAAGAATAAACTCGATATAGATTGAATAACATAACGATATTGACGACGAACCAGCGCACATAGAACTCTAAATGCCGAATAATATATGTTGCATTAACAGAGATAAGCCGAGTGAGTAAGACGCCTAACTTGTGCTTGTATATATGAAAAGATAATTTTTTCGGTGTTTTCTTTGTCAAGGTTAATAAATGCGTTTTAATACAATTTATGATCAACAAAATTATAAACACACATGTAAACTGTGTATAGATATAACGATTGAGTTAGCTTAAAATATACAACAAAACTGAAATAATAAATCTATGACACACTAATAACAAAACATTAAAGAGAATCTGAGTCTGGCAACACTTGTAAAAGAAATAGAAAAACACACAGATAATTATTTACACTCATTTCTCAAAATGACTTTGTACGAAGACGGAGAGCGTGATTAAAAGAAAAAATGCACAAAAACAAAAACATGCAAAACATGTTATGACCTGCGTACGATGATAGAAATAATGATACAGTAGAGAGGAAAAATAACATTTTGCAATATAATAATTGTACAATTTACATAGAAATCGACTGTTTATTTTCTTTTTTTTTTTTGTTTTTTTTTTTAATAAAGCTTATTTCTTTCAAATTGTTATAAATACATTCAAGAAGAATTATATATATCTGTGTAAGTTATAATCTTACTGGAACCGTATTGGTGCGTAATACCTTGAACAACTGCTAAAAGCCTAATGGCCCCCAGCGGGCGACTAATTATAAACAACGTGAGCCGGGTTTAGTTGTTCCACTCCTAAATAAACTAGTCTACTTCATCTCCCGTAATAAATATTAACTCCTACTAATAACTGTAAAAAGTTAGATAATAAAATTTTAGTGATTAGATGTCAGTAATTGATTAAGAGATGGCAATTTTTCTGTCGGTTCTGTTTTTTTAATTGAAACTTTTCTGAAACCAAACTAACAATATCTGTATCCCAGATGTATCTTTAGAACGGCACTTGTATGGACATTTTTTCTACTCGCGTCATGGATAAAGGTAAGTACTCTTATGCATAAAATGTATAACTATGCTATTCGTTAACAGAGGAAGCGCATTTCTTTAACATCAAATAGAAAAAGTTTTCTTTTTTAATATTTCTTTACCGGGCAAATGTTTAACAAAAAACAAGGAGTCCTAATATAAAGTATGGGCACTTAGAGAATAAGCGTATATGTTCTCAATAATTTGTAAAAATGCCAACCATGCGAGAATAATCGTATATATTCTCAATAATTTGTAAAAATGCCAACCTTGCGAGAATAAGCGTATATGTTGTTTACACTTCTCAATAATTGAACATGTGTTTGTATAATCTATGCAAATTTTTTGCTAGCCTATGAGAACTGTAAGATCGTTAAAATAACATCCCGTCAACATTTTCATACTTTTTCTTTAAAAATCTGGTGCACTTTTGCTAGATAAAGTCTATCAAATTCATTTATTAGCGACATAATCTAATTCCGCCCGCCTACTGTTCTACCAGTACATTACACGAAAATGAAATTTTCTTTTGCTTTTTTTCGGGATATTATTGAAGGTTCTACTTTCATTTTTAAGGATCCATATTTGGTTTTCTTAAAATCAGAATAATGGACTTCTTTAACCATACCTTGCACGCACAAGCACGTCAGCTAATCAAAATTTCTTCAAAAATTGAAACGAGTTTCAGATGAACCAAATTTTCGCAAAACTTTACGGCATTCTACAACGCTGTATATATATGCAAACATTGTTTTGTAAACTTTACGGTATTTTACAACGCTGCATATACAATATACATAAAATTTTCTGCAAGCTTTACTGCATTTCGGTGTATGGCGTTAAAATTTATGTCAACAGCTGTTTTTTGTTTTCTATTTTTGTTAGTTTCCTTTTTTTTTATAATTACTACGAAGAGTCAAAGAAAACACATATATATAATATAACACTGAAACTAATGCGATGTAATTGAGAAAGAGAGAGGGTTGGGTTTTGATTTTCTCATACGCGTTCGCACAGATTGCAAAAACAAGAAATACTAAACCAACATTAATTGAGAATAACGATGATGCACACACACATGTATTACAACTTTTACTTCTAAATATATTTTGCTTAGAAAAATTTCCACTTTTTTTTAAAATGTCTTTTTTTAGATTTATTTTTATCTGGTTTCAATTCTTTTTTGATTTTCCGTTTTTTACTGTTTTGCAATTATCCGCTTTCTCTCTATCTCTCTCGCATGTATTGAGCTTAACAATTTGTTTTTTTTTTTTAAATAAACACTCATAAATTGATATTTGTGAGCAGGTAAGATTAAGCAATAATTTTGTGTTTTACGGACACTAACACATTCACATAAAATGTAATAAAATAAAAAATATTTTGCTTTGTATCATTTAATTTTTTTTTTTTTTTTCATATATATATGGTAGTTTATTTTCCAGAACTTTTTCCTGAAAAAAAATCAAATGAGAGCACTTCTACACAAACGTTTACGATTTGTTTTATTAAAAACACTTCCATCCATACCTAAAAATAGCAACACAAACACTTTCAGCAATAAACACCTTTCATTAAATCACGTCATAATGATTGAATTAACAAAAAAAAAAAATTTGCCTTTTTTTTTAAATATGATAAAGATTTCTTAAAATGAGTTTCCTCTCTTTTTCTTTGCTATTTTTATAAAAACTTAGTTCATCTAATATCTAACAAATCCCACACTCTTGCGAAAGCACATCAGAAATTTTATTTCTAGTTGCTCTTGTTTTCTTATTTTGACGTGCTATGGAATTCTTACTTTGCACGATTTCTTCTTTTTTCTCAGCCGCTTAAAAGGGTTTTGTTTACATTTTTCTCAATAAGAAATCAATTACAGAAACACAAAAACACCTCGAATTTTTAACACTTTTTTCAGTTCAACGGCGCGGCGCCTTTCTCAAGAGTATTTTCTCGACTAAAATTCATCGTGTTTTTTTTGTCCCCACAGTGCTTTAGCTACTTATATGTGACTATCCATGTAGGTGAGTGTACAATCCGCTCTCTATTTACTCACCAATCCAATCGAATGTTAAAATTTTCTCACTAACACAAGCGAATTTTCTGAAAATTCCACCAACATGCAAATTTAAAATTTTGGGATGAGAAGAGTTTAAATTGGGATGGGATGAGGTTTGTTTTCAATTGTGAATAAAAGTGTTTTGCTTTTTTTCTCGTGGACCTTAATGGGACCTTGGCGTAAGATTGATTGACATTTTTACAGTTTTATATCAGATCGCTAAAATAAATGAAAATAAAAAACTGAAACTGACTTTGCTACATCGTTTGATTTTGGATTGTTTTTTTTTTCAATGGTTTTTTAATGAAAAAATAAAAATTTGATTTTTTTTATAAAAATATTACTTCTATTTTTAAATAAAGATATTTCAGCTTATGGACCTTGAAAATATCGTAACAGCGCGTTTATATGTAATCCTTTCAACGAGTAAATAATGAATTTCGATGCGTAATGAATAGTCGTGTTACCGCCCAAACCGACGAATTAAACTTAAGAAACAAATGGAAAATAAAAATGATTTTTAACGGTAAAAAGAATATGTTAATAGTTTACATTTTTTCATTTATGTTAACACTACAAACTATTAGCAGAAATACAATCGCATATGTACAAATCTCTTTTTGTTTGTTCATGTATTTATTTTTTTTATTTGTTTATTTTGGTCTTCTACAGGTTTGTATGAGTAATGCATAACATTGTTTGCAACTTGTTCGAATTTTGTTTAGACAAATTTTCGAAAAAGGGTTCTATTTAACTTACCCGCATTGGCTTTTCAATTTTTTAAGATAATTATTGACCCTAACTTTTTCAGCAGATGACATGTAAACCGAAATAATTTATTGCTTCGCTGTTTAAAGTTTCGCTTCAGCCATAAACACGTTAGCAAATTATATGATTTAATATCGTTGCCACAATCTTACCAAAATACGTTTCGGTTTTAAAATTTGTTGATATTTTATTTTATTTTAGGTGCATAAACAGTAACAGCGATGAATCGAATTGGTGAAATAATTGCTGGAATCTCAGAAGAAAATAATTCAGACCCAATATTGTATACGATTTTTACCTCGAACATGGTTGCTGCTGATAAATATTACAATTCCTGCATAAGCAGGTGAAACGGCTATATTAGCCACTAGCTGAAGAACAAAGTGTTACTCTACGAAACCACTGTAAAGCCAGTATGGACGTATTGGATCCATCTATAGGGGACATCCAGTCATTCTGACGTAGAAATACTATAAAAATATCAAACTCCTTAAAACTAATCGTAAATGCTTCTCCGTGGTTTTTGAGCAAACATGTTTACGTACCAATCTTGATGTTCTGAAAGTTAAAGATGAAATAACCTGCTTTAGTAGTAATTGCTTAAACGGATTAAGACTGCACCCTAATAAAAGGTGCTTGTATGTTTTTTGATCATTTTCTCACTTGAAGAAAGCATTTATTGAGAAAAATTGGTACGAAATGTATTAATCAAAATATATTCGATCGTTTTCTACAACTTTTTTCAATCTTTCTGGCAAGATGGCAATAGCGTGTCGAAAGAACGATATTGATTTGACAGCGTTCCAATCTCATTTTCGAACTAATTCAGCATTCCGAAAAGAGTATGGCGGCAAATATTTCGGTTCAATGCAGATGTGAATGGCTGTCCTGAAATAATCCATGACTTGGAATTGTCGTAGTAGATCCACTTTTCAATGCCAGTCCCAATACGCCACAGAAAGCATTTTTTTTTTAGTTGGCAAGCAATGCAATGGCGATGTAGCAACGGTTCGGGATGGAATTTACGGTCAAGGCCTTTGATAGCCATTTTCCCTCCTTGTGGATCTTTCCAGCGTTGCTCGCACTCCCATGATGACAATACTTGAAATAGAAAGCTTACATACAGGCATACAGGCTTTTAAACGATTGAAATATTATCATTAGATCCCACTAACATTGTTAGAAAATTACGAAAGTCATGGTCGCCTTTGACCGAACCTAGGCAAACCAACAAATATTTGGAAGCGCGCTTAGGGGCGTACGATATGTAGCATCAACTGTGGACTTCGGGCGTCTGTGGGCGTTTCTTTCGCTAGTTTTGTGGCATTAAGTGCCACAGAAACGGACAATGGGAGACTCACGATAGAGGGACACCAATAAATCGACTCATAATCTGAGACTAATAAAATGTATTTATATCTAAATTAGGGATTTACGCATTTCTAGACGTTGGTATTCGGTAATGAGCAGTTTGTTAATTATGGGCGTAATCGTTAGGCAATTGGGACACTCTTCCTCAGAACTTCTAAATGTTTCTTATACACATTTATAAATTTATTAGATGATAGTTATGAAATAAGATACCATCTGTTAGACATGCCCTCCATATAGACGTGTTATTGACACTTTTAATGTAAACTTAAAAGCTGATGGCAAAAAATTAAACAAATGTATAATTGTTAAATTCTCCATATCCTAACTATTGTTGTTAATATTGTTAATTCATTTGCTAACTATTTAATTGTAAATAGATTGCAAATAAAGACAAAGAAAAAAATTGAGTAAAAGGATTCCCCACTGTTTACATATTTTTATTAACATAATTGATACTATGAATTTTCTTTAAAACAGAGAAAGGGGTTCCATGCCTGAAAATTGCTTCCTTCTGGTCTTTCTCAAGCGTTTCGAAAAAACTGTGTTCATTCAATAAATCTCTGCTTGGTAGTTACCGTCTAGTCTAGCCTCTTGCTTGCGTATTTCTAACCTAGGTAATCTCTGAAAAACTTGCTAGCCAAATATCCGCCCGTATCACCTGCATGTCCGGCGCCCCGGTCGGTTTTGCTAATACGCCTGCAAATAACGATGAGATTTTAATGCCAACTTATTTCCATTTTATTCTAACACATATTGCATCGAATTTTATTGATAATTGTGGGAATGTTATTAATCTGATTGCAGCCATTTTTTGATTGAATATGAAAAAGTTTTCGGATCGCAGGTTAAAGACGAAAATTTGTAAAAAAATTATCAGTGTTTTTCATGTTCTTTTCGTGTGCTTTTAATTTCTTCTGCATTGTAAAAGTGTCTGTGAACAGATTTCGTCCACCTTTTAGGCTTGCATTCTTAATCGGCATAGTAATACATGTGCCAAAATTCAGCTTCCTATCCTCATTGTTTCTGCAGTGACGATTTACAAAATTTATCTCTCAAATTGACAGCTTTCCATAAATGTAGTATTAAACGCATTTATTTCTAAGTAAAGAAACTTTAAGGCAGCTTCATCGACACGATCCTGAAAAACGATTAATTAAATACCTTTTTCTTGAAAATTTCAAATCAAATAATTTCTTGAAAATGAAAATTAAAGTTAATAGTGTTCAAACAGAGCGTTTTTATTCGGACACTATTAGACAATATCTTATTGCAATAAAAAGTCAAAAATATATGCCGCTAGTAATAAAAGAATGCAGGAGACAAAGCTCTGCATGGACGGACAGAAAGTTTCTAACGTTGTTAAGTACTTTTAATGAAACAACTTTAATATCGTTTGACAGAGAAGTACTTGGTGATGCGTTAGTATAGACAAACTGGGGGATGTCTTTCGTACCGTTTGAGATGCCTGCATAGAAATGCTAAGATTATATATTGACGATTGCTTCGATATGTATCACCCTTTGGAGCATTATAAGGTCGAAAATTTTATCATTGAAATAATATAATAGGTATGATCGTTGAATGGATAGGAGACTAAGGACTGTGTGAAAAGGGTCAGTGCCTCTGCCAGGCAATTAAAAGTGCATGATGAATATTTTGATATTAATTATGGACTACACTGTTTTTTCTTTTCTCTTTCCAAGAGTGGTGATGCCCAAGCAATACTGGTGATTGAGAGATCACAGACGTGCCTATTCTCACCGCCTGCTGCTGGGCGGGGGGGGATACGCAGGAAAATTTTTTTCCTCGCCAATCGAGTTGTCCAAATGATCAACAGCTGGTCCAGAGACTTTTCTTTAACGAGAAAGGCTTGGACTATCTGTAAATTAGAAGGATAGCTTGGCAGTACACTGAAAGAAGCTTGCTATGAGCACTTTTTTTTTTAATAGACTATTGCTATGAAGGAAATACAAACCAGCCGTTGGTTTGCGATTGGTTATGTAAAGTACGTTCATATAGTAATGGCCGAGAGCATGTGCCCAGCATGCCAAACTGAGCACCCGACGCAAATGTGTCTTCACGAAGGGTAGTCTAGTGTTGGCTAGCCGGGATTGTATGGTTGATTCGAAGGAAAGAGTGACTATGTCACGTCAAGTACGGCTAGAGGCTTTATAGTCTAAATTTAAGTTTCACGGGGGTCAGGAGCCCACTTGCGAGTACCTGCAGGCATAGGTGCAGATTCGGTGCTTGCCAAGATCCTTTTGGGGGGAAGCCTCCATACTTACATAGCATGTAAAAACCGCGGTGGAAGCTAGTATGTCCAATCACCAGTTTGAATGCAGCATGTGTCAGCCCTGACTACTACTACTACTACTACTACTACTATTGTTACTATTGTTTAATATTTTTCACAAATAGCTTTTGTTTTTAATATCATACACAAATACATGCTTAATAACTGTCTGGAACTTTTTTTTTGAGAAATCCGCGAGATTAACCGAATAGGAATATTAGTCCCACGAAAAGTAAAATTTTCTTCTTCAATTCTTATAGCCATCACTGAAGGTTGGATATTTATTCAATTAGTCAAAACTCTTGCAACATCGAGAAGAACTCCTGAGAGAAAGTTATGTGTGATCAAATTTTAATTTTTTCCCTTTTTTTGATATTTTCTTATTATTTCTCATAAGATAAACTAGATGGAATATCGAAAACTCTTCTCTACATTCCTCGCATGAAGGTATATTATCTGTCTAATAAAAATATATAAACTAGACGTAGTGGCGGGTTTGATTTTTCAGGCAACAATCCTTAGATTGTTGTTATTTCTAAATTCTACGTCACAGACGTCACGGCAGTATACGATAGATAATACAATGGATGGTTTGGAGATTGGGGATTTTCCTAACTTGTTTCATCTGTTATCTTTCTTCAATTCGATAAAGCAAATAGACGTAAAAGTCCATCTTAAAGATATTTAATAAATATCTCACTCTACTTGGTAAAAGCATTTAGACTTTTTCATTTGTTTTATGTTATGAGAAACTGATGTTCGAGTAAAAGCTAATGTATACATGTTTGTACACATTTAAAATCAATATAATTGAATGTAAGACGAATGTAAGCATTGTAAGGTCAAGAGACAAAACTTTTGTTTATATGGCTTCATATAAATAAATAAAACAAAAAGTATATATATATATATATTCAATACTCTTCTCAGTCTGCGATACCAATGCCATGTGAATGATATGTTATTTAATACGAAAAGCAAATCAGTAACTAAACAATATCGAAATTATTTACTATATTGTAAAGTAAATGTTTTTCTAAAGAAATTGGTTTTCGTTTTTTTTTTTTTTTTTGTTTAAATATAAAACAAAAATTTAAATTGAATGTAAACACAAATACACATTTACACACGCATATGCAAACATATTAAAAAGAAATTTTAAAACAATTAGTCTTCTAAGTGTTCTTTCGTTTGTCTATTCATGTATTCATTACACAAACAGATCTATGAATGAATTTAAAAATAGATAAAGAAAAAGTTTTCGAAATTTTATTTAGTAATAAAATACAGAAGAGAAAAAAAAAAAGGAAATTCTCTTCTCTTTCTCTCTATCGATAAATAAAGCAACAAATTTTCCTCATAATCATTTTGTTGTTGTTTTTAAGCATGAGAGTAAAGGATAGTTTCTATATATCACATACATATGTAAAAAGAAACTAATACGAGAATCATTGTCTCTGCTTAAGTCAGAAGTCTACAAAGTCGATGATCCAAGGCTCTTGGCCAGCAAAGGAATTTTCCTGGTTTTTGTTTCGACAAACACTTTTATTCTAAAATGTTTAGCGATCTCTGCTCTATCATGTAGATAATCGAATTTTGTTTTGCAAAAACTATCAAAAGGAAGAAGCTTTTATAACTTCTGTATCATTCATAATTGTATCACGATATCATATACTTTTTTTAATAAAGACTTGTACGGAAACATTTGCTTACCTTTTAATTTTCTTCATATGATGTATGGCTGAGAGCAGTGCATGCACTTTGAAAAGAAAAAATTTTGTGTAAAGCAAAATAATTTTCTGCCTTTCTGGTAGCCTTTAAAGCAATGCGACCTTCCATAATTTGAACAAATTGAATCAGTTCCGTCCGTCTGTCCGTTTTCGTTGTTAAAGAATTATTTCCTTTAAAGAATTATTGTCTTTCTGCTAG